TTTAGGCAGACCAGCGGCGAGCCCTCGCCACAGATGGTGAGCTGAGGGTGAGCAGAGAGGCTGACGGGATCCAGTGGAAATGGCGTTGAGCAAGGGAACAGGTCTATGAGAGGTGGTGGGAGAGGGAGGTTGGGTGGGATATCTTGCCAATCCAACAGTTCAGATGAAGATTGAGTGAAGAGTATTTCCGTATCCAAGTTGATTAATAGTCCAGAGTCCAGTGTGAGCTCACCCTCAGCGGTGGTGCCGTGGGCGGGGCCTTCCATAGCCCCCACGATGTCCACAGCTGTATCCACCGTCGCTTGTGCTGTCGGCTCTCGCACCTGGTCAGATACTTGGGGCTCAGGCTCCGAGGCGATCATCCGCTCTGTCGTTCCTGATGGCAATGGCTCAACGACCGCGGCAGGCTCTGGCTCTCCGTCTGCGGTGGGCTCGGGCAGCTCCGCGCCGTGGGGTGGAAGTTGACTGGGCTCTGGGTTCGGAGTGGGGCTGGTGTCGTCATCCGTGATTTGAGTTTCGATTTGCAGGACACCAGCACCCACTCGATGAAGGCGGCGAGGCTCTCTCGAGGACCATCTGCGCTCGTGTGGTGGCATTAAGTCCAACTTGATAGAATGAGCAGAGGCAGTTGTCCGGGTAGTGCGTGAGGTTGGCGAGGAACACAAAGTCTGTAGTGTGGTCCTCGAGAGAGCGATCCCCCTGCTCTAGCAGGAGGACGAGGACAGCAGGGTCATCCATAACAAAAATAAAAACAAAACACGCCGCTATACTTTCCTCTTTAGGTCGGTTATTCTGTCACGAACACGGTGTGTGGAAACAGGCAGGATGACGAAGACGACAAAGAATTCCAATAATCACTTTAATTCATTAACTAATAATGAGAACAGGAACAACCAAATATGGACACAGAGGGAGAAACCACAATCAACAGTCCACAGGGGTGTGACAGATTTCAGTTATACCAACATATTAAGTTTTAATTCAACTAGAATATTAAGAGTAAATATAATAATGACAGATTAATAACTTAAGATCATGATTTATATACCTCGTCTGAAAGAACAGGCTCTACCAGTTTCCCATCAACAGTCTAAAAAAAAAAAGAGTGAATCACTGGAAAGAACCTTAGCTTGTCACCATAATTTATGATTTTATAAGGTCTGTGCAAACCACACACACAAACCATTAAGAAATAATTCTGTATCAACAGCTAAACAACTGTAAATAAATTAGATTGGTTGTTTGGTGAAACCTTTTGTGCGGAACTGCCTTTAAAGTCTTCCATACTGATGGACCTGAGGAAAACAGTGTTAATATTTATATGTTACATGTCATTTTCATGTTGAAATGAGGATGTATGGATGCTGTTACCTGGAGTTTGCATCTTTCTGAGAAGAAACTGAAGGCGGCAGTAGAGGAGTTGAGCTACTAAAGGTCAACTTTACCAGAGACAAAAAGGGAAAAAAAATCAGAAATGGTTTAGGAAATTATGAATCAGACCCAGCAGTCACTATAAGTGTATCCATTCCTGTATTTAACCTTTGTAGCTCATGATCTGTTGACAAAGACAAAAAAAAAAAAAATGAAAGAATGAAAGAAACAATTATATATCTCTGTGAAATATGGTAAAGCCATGCACAAAACTATTCAAGATCTGCAACATTGTTTACAAAGTATAGTAACTACAGTCTGGATTTCATAAACCTCACAAATGTTTGTGATCTACTACCCTGAAAATAATTAAAATTTACAGACATGGACAACTGGAATTACACTGATCTTACACGTTTCCAAGGAAACCTAAGTGGAGCAATAAATGGTTACGACTTCATTTTAAAGTCACCAGCTCACAAGATGCTCACACAGGCATGAGTTTACAGGGTCACATAAAACAATGAGACAAGTGAGATCTTACACAATCAAATGCAGAAATTGGTTTTATGTGCACAGATGAATTCTGCATTAATATTTCTAGCAATTTGTGTGAGGATTTGTAATATAAACATGCTTACATTTGGTGTTGAGTCTCCTTCTGTATATCTCCTCTAATGTTGAGTGAATGGTAGTAAGGGAAAATAACCATTGTTAGCTACCACAACACACAGTAAACACATAAGGCAATTACTAATAACTGCTGTTAACATTAGTAATTGAACGATATGTATTTTTCAAAGGCTAATACCAAAATCTAAAGAGCAGGGCAGCTAATGGCCAGTGTAATGCAGATAAAATTTAAAGGTTAAGTGTGTAATTTCTGTGCCACTATAACGGCGTCAAAGGGAATAATAAGAATAATGACTATATGCACCTGAAATCGTGTACTGAGTATGTACCACATTTGATGAAGAACTTCTTTCTCGACCAGGATGTTCTATAAAGTTTACAACATCAGCCACACTTTTCAGAACCTCACAGAAGCAATAGGCCGCTTAGGTATGTTTTACTTACTATTTTATGAATACTGCAATTTCGGACATGCTATCATACTGCTATTTACACATAGTACTGTATGTAACTAACAACATCCGTATGCAGAGACTGCATGTAAAACTGAATGCATTTGGAATGTATGCATTCCCTGAACTCTCTCACTGCCTGTCATTAGTCAGCAAACAACTGGTTTAAAAAAAAAAAACTTTTACTTTTGTTACTTCACACAGTTATGGGACAAATATCTCAAATGGATGCATATCGGCCTATCACTAATTAACATGCATTAACATGCACAACTATTTAGCTTTTGAAATTCTCAAAGATCTAATTTGCCCTTAACCTTAGTCTTGACTGCATCAGGACATGCCTTTAGATGGATCTGAGAGAAAAAGCAGTACCTCTTTCTGCGCTGTCTACAGACAGTGGAGCTCTGGAGAGCAGCTGAGCCTGTATACTCTCTACCTCAGAGTTCTTACAGCTCAACAGCTGTTGTAAACTCATGATCTCTGCCTGAGAAAGAAGAAACACTTCATTATGATATAGCCAAAAATGTACGAAATTAGCTACGTTGGAAGATTGTCTGTGAACAACAACTTTGGGCCAAAATGTGGGCCTTTGTGATTCATAAGTGAGGACATAAAGACTTATGAATCACATTTGTGTGGCAGTACCTGTGTCACCTTGAGCTTCTGCTCATACTGCATCTTGTCCTGTTCCAGCTCATTAACTCGATGCTTAAGCATCTTGAGCTCCTGATGCAGGTTCTGTGTAATAATGCACACACCAAAATAATGTTCCCATGTTAATAAGAAAACAGCATATTTTTAAGTAAATATTTTTAAATTCATCATATTGTATATAATTTATATATAGCTTTTCCCACTAAAGGGTACCATGGTAAAAAAAAAAAAAAAAAAA